TTAAGTGATAAATCGATTTGAAGATGAATCCTATCTCATTAAATAGATCCTATTGAAGCAAGTGAAAGTTTAAAAGGATTCGTGTCCATAACATCAGAGTTTTTAGTATTTCCTATCCTCAAATATCAATACTGAAAATTCTTTTCAAATCTTCATGATTGCGACTGAAGAAAACTTTTATTTTCTTTTAATACTGCACACCAGATAAGAATCATCTCAAAAGAGATTTATCATTTGGTAAAATTTTCTTATGATTTGTAAACAATGGTAATAGATTATACTAACTAATTTCTTAATTAATTTAAAACATGATTGTATTTGTTCTTCAATATTTTTTATAGAATTTGATATAATTAATGGTAAATTTGGATACTAAAAGAAAAAAAACCAAATAGGTTTTTATCAAAAAGAAATAATTAAGAAAATCAACAAACTTGTCGAAGTCGAATAATTGAATCTAGAATAATTTGTAATTGTTCTTTTTTCATATATTGAAATTGAAGATGTTTTATTGTATTTAAATAAGATTTTATAATAAATGATGTATGATTATACGTTGAATTATGAATTGATTCAAGAAGATTTATTGCAAGATGATAATGAGAATGTTCTTCATTTGATTTATCAATTGGTAAAGTTGGTAAAGAAAGTAACTCAATACAAAAATAACACATTGATTCAATTAAGATTGATTTATAAGCTATTGTACTATTATCCGATACAAAAGGTAGATAGCGAGAAACAAGATCAAATGTTAATTCTTCAATAAGTAAAACATTTGAACTAAAATTTAAAAAAACAAATAAAAAATAGAAAATATAAGAATCATTTAGAAATTTAACGAACATTGATGAATGAATAAAAAAATAGAAGAAAGAAGTTATATCATCTCGTTGATATTGATTAATAGATCGATAACCATTTGAAAAACGATAATCAAGTATAATTTCAAGTAAAGCAATATTTGGTTCAAGACGAGAACTAAGAAATAATTTAATAAGACCAAATACAATAGTAGTTTTTATTTCAATATTCTACAAAAAAAAAGTTTTGAAAAATTCAAATTAACTGAAATATTGATTACTTGTTGATCGAAAAGATTTAAAAAATATTGTGTTGTCAATTGAGATGTTAAATTTAATAAATTTATATTTGTTAAAATATCAGGACCATGAACAAGAAGAACATCAATAAAAGTTGATATTGATTGACATTTTAAAGAGATATTTCCGATTTTATCGTAAAATCAATTTTTTCAAAATTATGCTCCTCTTAAAATCCTATACTAAGAATCTCGTATAGTCGAAACGACTATCCAACTTCGAATAGAAAATTTTGTTGAGAGTATCAAAGTACGATTCGCCAGGGCCCGGGTCCGAAAAGTTTGAACCCGAAGAATTCTACTCTACAGTATACATTTTTGCATGGCAGACAGACATATAACTTTCGTTCTTAAAAATGACTTTCTTTTGTTCAGAAATGATTGCATATCACTCTGGAAATCATTTTTAAGACAATAGAATATTTTTGGTAAGAAGATTTTTCGAGAGAATGTCTTGTACCATACGTCATCGAGTATAGTTTTGCGTGCTGATTCCGAATATAGCATTGATTTTCAATAGAAATAGTGTGGAGTCTGAAAAAAAGGAGTTTAGTGGAAAAATCTGTTGTATGGTGATCAGGAGCGTTTATGCTAACTGTAGTGACAGAGAATATAAAATAAAACATTCGGCCATAGTTTGAGCAGATTGAAATTGACGCTAAGGGATACGCAATTGTTTTAGTGAACTTAGCTATTCCGAAAGTTGATTTAGAAAAAACTTTTATTTCTTTTTTCAAAAATTATACATTCATGTTTAAATATTTGTTTGATGATCGATGTCAAACGATATGCAAATTCAGAGTATCTACTGAGCGTATCTGCCAGATGGTTTAATTTTATCTAAAATTGGTTTCCTCATTGATACCAGTATTTCCAAGCTAAGTTTTGAATTCCGATTAGTCAACTCAACTTAAAATTCGTAACGAAAACTCTTACACCATTAGATAGAGTATGTCTCAAAATATATTGATTACTATTTGAATTGATGAAAGCGTAATCTTCGTTTTTTCATCTAAAGTTCGCTTGAGTGCACATTGTGCTCTCCATTTCTGAAAGCTCTCAAGATCATCTTGACTAAAAATTCTGAAACTTTCAATGCAAGCAAATCTCATTGAGTATAACAAAAGTTTTGCTGAAGGATCCGATGACTATAACTAGCCTAAAGTTTTCCCCTACGCTTTTCTTCATGCCATTACAGCCGACCACACAGAAATTTTCTCCGTAACATCTATGCATACTATTTTAATCATCAAAAAATCTTGAATTGTAAGCTCAGGAGAACCACATTATTCGAAGCTCTGTGAAAAAAAACATGTTTTCTGATGTGTTACAATTTTTGTAAGATTTTCTATAATTCGTCAATATGAAATTTTTCAACGACAAGAAAAAAGACAAAGCTCAATTTATTTGGAGATACAGCAGAAAAATTTTTAGCCTTATCGATTGTAGACCGTAAGAAGAGAGCTTTGAAGTTTTTATGAAAAATATATTTCAAGAGAACCGAAAAGAAAATTAAAACTTATCATTCTAAGCATATTTTTTTAGCGTGAAGAACAACAAAAATCTGAAATATTCGAGTAAGGAATAAAGAAACAATGCTGTTAAACATAAATAATATCACGTTTTGTTCACTGGTTTAATAAAGTGGTTGTAACGCTCTTCGCCGAAAAGCATTTCGTCGAAAGACTCGTAGGACGCTTTAGACTGTTGCGAGCCCTCTAATTCTTATATAGGCTTGTTCAGCATGAAGAGGTCAACTCATTTTGTCCTCACCCTCACCTTTGGAGCACCCTCCGTGGCTAAAAAGTACTTTCGACGAAGTATGTTTCGGCGAAGAGCACATATACCGATTATAATAATTGATTTTTAACTATTATGAAAGACAACATACGGTTATATGAAAA